ATAAAGTCAACTTTTTACTTCAAGTAATTAAGTTAGCTAGAGATATGGAAATTACTTTTCAAAATTGGAAATAGTACAATATCTTTGAATTGAAAAAAGAAAATAGTCTAATTAAAGAATATCTCTTACCTAAGAAATATAATAAAGTCATGTTATCACTAAGAAACAATAGGTTAATATATATAAATTAGCTCATCGACTATGAAGCAAGTAAAATAAAAAATTGATATATGTTCCAATTTATCCAAAAAATAGACAAAGGTTCTATCCCAGAATGGTTCTTAAATATAAGTAGGATGTTTTCTAAAGATCTTCTAAATCAGTTTATAGAATTATAAAAAAATAAATTGGATAAAATAGAAGTCAACATATTTTACAGTTTATCCTAACTGTAACAAGAGACAAAAAATATGAATAGTTAAAAAGAATGCCAATCACTAAATAATATGGGAAAAGCTATTACAAGAAAAATCCAAGAAAAAAGCAAAGATTGAATATTACAGGTATCAGAATAGTAAAAATAGACAAAAGACAAAGTTAATTAAATGTATGGGTTATCTAAAAGGTTTTATCCAAGAACAGACTTGCATTATGAAGGAAGATATAGAAGAGATATATATGATACTATATTTTAATACAACAAAAAGTACTAGGAGAGTCCAGATACTAATGATCCTATGTTCCATAATACCTCTGGAAATAGCAATTAGAAAAACAATAAATAGTAATCAAGTATTTATACAGAGTTTGCAGGAAACATTCCAGCAGTCCACTTTCCAAGATATCAAAATGGATTACATAAATATAGAAAGTTGGGAAGAAATGTTCATTAAAGAATGTTAAAAAAGGAGTATATCAAAATCATCTAATAGAGATACTTTAATATAATTAAGGATCCAAACAAAAATTAATCTTCTATTCAGATAGATTACTAATTAATCATGAAAATGACAATATAAAGATAGTGCAGCATGAATTAAAATAAGTAATACAGGAAAAGAAAGTAGATTTCAAGCAGGTATAGATAGTTGGTTCTCATCTATACATATAAAACTAATAGTAATAGTCACAATACTTCTGGTAGTTCCAATAGGTAGCTTAATTGTAATCTCTACAAATAGTCAAGCCTATATTTCAAAATAAAAAATAGTTGAGAAAAATGATTCAAAAAGAATACATAAAAGATGGCTAAAGGATAAAAACTAATTATTATGGATATAAATGGTAGAGCTGATCAAGAAAAAAGATCTAGATTTGAAACTTATCAAGGTTAAGGTACACTTTTAAAACCTCTATAATGATGAAGCAGATGCCTTAGCCAAATATACTTTCAAACTTCTAGTATAGAATAAAAAAATCACATTTCATATAAAATCCCTATAAAAATTAAGTAGTAGAACAAAACTTTAGTTAATCCCATAAGACAATTCATCAAGAAGATAAATAACATGACTACAGTATATTAGTGGATATTACGAAACAAAACCGAAAAGAAATGGAATCACCAAATTCAAAAACAATAAGACTATACATAGAATCTAGTATGGAAGAGAATGAATAATTATATGTAGGATACATCTTTCAAAGATTCTCAAAAAAAAAGTTTTCTTATTAAGCTAACAAATTATAAGCTATCAATACTAAGTAAACTAATAATAAAAAGGCCAGATCTATATAAGCAAGTGAAATGTATTGCATATGATCTTTAGAAAGAAGAAACAATTAATCAATTGTTAGAATGTCTAGTATATAAGAAATAGATAAAAAAGATATGAAATAAAGGTCTTGAATAAATTTTAATAAATTTCAGAAAACTCTTACAAGAAAAGAAAAAGGAAGTAAAAAAGAAGAATACTAGATTAATAGTAATTAATAGTGAAGAAATAGATGAAATAGACAAGTAAATATCTAGGCTAGTAGAACAGTTCTCAACAACTAATTAGGATATATTAAGTTTTTTGTAGGATTAATAAGAAGTAAACTTATCTTTGGAATGGTGAACTTTAAATGTTATGATAAAAAAATCAGAAAAGAAGCAAAAAAATGGATCAAGAAATTGTAAAGTATAACTTGTAACTAGATTCAAAAGAAGGTTTGGAATACAAGATATGAAAGAATGATAGAATAGAAAAGATTGCAAGGAATTTAAAAAAAGAATAGGATAAAAAGACTCCCAACCTCCCAGATACTAAAACTATGTGACTGAAAAGGAAAGTTCCAATACTAGAGGAGGAAAGATTAAAAGATAAAGATCTAAAAGATATCTTATCAAGAGGAGTTGGATTTAAAATAAAATAGTTGGATTTTGAGTAATGTCAGAACTTAAAAGAGTGATTTACAGTAGTAACCTATAAGCAATAATATTAAGAGTTGAAAAGGTTTTCACCTGAATTCTTAATGGAACAATAAATTATTTCCAAAGTTGCATTTAGAGTAGTAATTACAAAAACAAGTAAGCTAGTTAGTGTTTTTTAGTTTTGGTGATTCATATTATACAGTGTATAATAAAACTTTTTAAAATTTTTTATTTATTCATAACTTAAAAAAAAAATTATCTAAATAATATAGAAATTATATATATATAAACTCTTTCTACTGATTCTCTGACCATATACAAAAAAGATATTTGCAAGAAGTTTTTTGCTTCTTTGCTAAAAAAGTTTTTAATACTTTCCTTAAAATACTTTAAAAAGTGACTTCAAGAGTCATTTCTATCTCCTCTTTACTTGTTTATAATCTTTTTTGACTAAAAACTTGACTTCTGGTAACCAAGAATAAGTCAAGTAACACTTTTGATATCAACAGCAAGAAAGTTTTTAAAGGAAAAAAAACCAATAGTAAAGTACATAAAGGTTTTCTTCACCTTTAAAGCGAGAGATATATAGAGATTTTGATGACATAAAGACTTATTTTTTTCCTTCTGATTACTATTGGACCTTTTAGAACTATCATTTTCATAGTTTTTTGAGAAATTTTGCCTACCTCAGTTTGATCTTGAATTTTGGATAACACAAATTCTCACCAAAGGTGATTGGCTGACACGAAACACATTGGTTTCAGAAAAAGTAAACAAGCTTCTATTGGTCACACTAACATGTTTCTATTATATTATAAGTGATGTAGAAAAGAAAGTTCTAGAAAAAGTTCCCCTTCAACCATGTATATTTGACCCTAGGAAACAGTTATGATACCAAAAGATGGGATGGATCTGCATAAAGAAATTCTATTTCTTCTCTAAGTTCCTCAAGTGGTGAAAAGGTTCCCTAAAATGAAAGCTGGGATCTTTTAGTTTTTTTTGGACTATTCCAATCTGGTGTATACTTAAATAAAAACTTATCTAATGTCACAGATGATGATAAAGAAGACTCCTTCTAAGATCCAAATAAAGCAAAAAAGAATATTCCAATCAGGTAAGATCCCTTTTGAGAAGAGGCTGTGAAATGAAAAAGAATTTTTTGAAGTGCTTTGAATTGGTTTTCATTTTTCCCCTTCCCCAGTTCAACTTTAACAATTTATTATTTTTTGAAATAATCAATAGTGACAAACTGTTGGCAATAATCCTGATTGACTTAGAGATACTATGCCAAGTTACTAGGAGAGTGTAATATTGTTCCCTAAATTTGACTTAGAGTACTTAGTTGAGACTTAATTTTGTTTAGTCCAAACTAGTTTAGTGAACTCCTCATATTTTTTAAGTAGTATAGTCCTTCAACTAATAATATACAAATATAAATTAGTCAATACGTGAGAAGGTTTATGGATTATTTTGATATTTTTTTAAGTATCTCAATAAAGTCAAACTGTATTAATATGATTATGGGTTAAAAAAAATAAAAAATAAAAATTTAAATATATACTGTATTTTTTAAAAATTAAAGAATAAGATTACTTATGTATTTTAAAAAACTCCAAAAAGTTTTGTTACATACTGTATATATAGTTTACAAATATTTAATAAAGCACATATAACTAGCCTAATAGAGGGTTAAAAAAAAAAAAAAGAAGAAGAGATATTTTTTAAAAAATATTTTATGTTAAATAATTATAATATTAATTATAATTACTTATAGATAAAGAATTAGTTGAAATATTTAAATAAATATTTGAAATCAATTTAAGTATTTCAGTCAACTTGTAAATGATATTATGTCAATTTCTATTTTTATAATATGATATTATCAGAAGACTTGTTAAATTGGATATATAGTTTATAAGAAATTTTGAAATGTAAATAAAAGACAAAAAATTATTAAATATAAAAAATCATTAATATATTTAGAGGATGAAAAACAAATTTAAAAAGATATATGAATGAACAAAATTCCAGGAGTAATTAAGAAGTTAAAAAAAAAAGCAAAAAAAAATTGATAAAGTAAAATCTTTAAAAGGAAAAGAAAAGCAAGTGAAAGAGAAGGAAAAAAAAGAAAAAAGTGACAAATAGGTTATTTAGTCAATTGATTTTGTAATTTTTGAAATTTATTATCATAATATTAAAAAAAGGTAATATAAATATAGGGTCTACCTACGCAATAGGCATTAGTTAATTTACTTGGTAGTTAACCTTGTAAAGACTATTCATGTAATTGTTTATAATTAACTTTCTAATAAAAACTAGCATGTATTGCTCATTTGCATAAAAAAAAAAAAAAAAAAAGGTAATATAAATATAGATAAGACATAAGCTTGTATTATATATAGAATAGCTCCATCTTTAAATATAAAATTGTATTTACTATAGTTTAAATGTTTAATAAAATTCTGACGAAATATTATTTCTCTGTTACAATTAGTTAATAGTTAGCATAACCTTGATATACAGTATAAAAGTGAAATCTTTCCGAAAACAAGTGTCAAGTAGTACGGCAAAGACTGCGGAATCGATCAATAATTAGTTTAAAAGGAAATACGAGCATGCTCGTAGACTGCTTTAACTTGACATGAAAAAAAAGTCCAAGCAGAAACGGATACAACGAAAAACAAATCTTATTGCTTTTACGAAGAACGTTTCTGCCTCCGATTCACAAAAAAAGCACAATGATCCAACCGCACACGTTAGCGTGCTGCTCGAGCAACTTCGACACGAGACTCGACCTAAAAACCTAGTCACCGCGGACGCATATTCCTTGCTGCCACTACCAGCATGCAATTATTTAATGAGAGAACAAGCCGAACTCGAACAAAGGACGAGAAGGGAAATCGATCTGACGAGACAGCGTGTCTCGGGTCCAGCTCCGCCTAAAAGTTGGCAAAGAGCATGGTGTTCGGAAGTCGGTAAGAATGCAGCGGGTATAGTTTTGCCGAAGGAAATTGAAGAACGTAAAATAAAGAGAAGAATCTGGGATAGGAAGAGAAATTTTTGCCTAGGTCCAGATTCAACAACATCTCGTAACATGATCGAAACATTTATCATGAAAGCATATTTGACTAACTTCATCTTGATGTTTCGTGTGCACCATAGGTAATCCAAACCGTGAAGTTCCCTCACTCCTGTCAATTTGTGTGGATACAATTGCCATAAATATTGAATTGTACACATCGCATCGATACTTTTCTAATCTTCCGACACACCTCAAGCAATACATACTTTCCTCTATGAGCATACACAATCCACTCACCAATGAATCTCTTCCCTTATTTGCAAACGATCCCGGATACGAGGAATTAGATATTGCGTATAGCAACGTCACCTTGGAATGCTTAAAAAAGTACTTTTGGAAAGTCGTCAAGGAAAAAGATGTGAAGAGTAGTGTCGTGGAAGACTGGGAAGATCTAATTGACCACGGTGATAATGACAATGCTGTGGACATTCTTTCAGTTCAACGCTTCAGAACTTCGAGAGATCATACCACAAAGACTGAGGCAAAGACATTGGTCGATGCTGAAAAAACATTTAAAAAATATGTTTCGATCTTACCTGATCTTCGTCGATTGAATTGTGGATTTACTGTTAATATCTCCGCCATACCTTTGTCTACTTTAATAGTGTCAACACTTCCTCTGTTGACACATTTATCCATCGCTGGATGTTTTGATCAAGAGGTTGGCCCGCATGCATTACGGGTCCTTTCAGGTCTATTTAACCTCTTGTTTTGGGAGATTTCCTATTGTAAGTGGGTGAACGATAGAATATTATTGCAATCAGTCAACTGGGACAGGGACCTGAAATCATTGAAAACGCTGGTTGCCATTGAATGCGGCGATTGGGATAACCTAGAGGAAGTTAGACGACAGTTGTCCCATCATCGTAGAATGTTTGACCTTTTGACCGAAATAACATGCATATAACAAGAAATTCGTGTTTTCGTTATGAATATCCTCTTGATTCCTTAATCAGATGGAAGTTCCATGAAATCCGCTTTTGTCTGTTAATTTATTGTGCAATACGATTTGTATAAATTTTGGGGGGATTGAGATTTCCGAAAATGCCACGGTAATTCGCAGGTCTGAAGAATACCAAATTGCTAAAATAAAGTTAATTATTTAACCATTTTCAATTGAAACCATATCCGAAGTTATATGTAGCCACTGCGACTTTTTTTAGAATAACATCTGAGGATTGATTTCTACAAAAATAAAGAAAATTATTTTTGTACTGAATGCGTGAATTTTCCAAAGATATTGAAAACTGTTTTTCGCAGAAATAAATTTATGCAAATTGACTTTCATGGTCTATTAATATTTTTTTGAAAATATTGTACAGTACCCGATTCAAAAAAAAAAAAAAAAAAAAAAAAATCAACATATTGCGGCGAGTCATCTAGTTAACAAAAACACATGGTAAAAATTTTTTTTTCTCAGTATTAGAACATTGAGGGTTTATTAGATCGTTCATTAATTAAAAATAAAAAACAATTCGGAAATTTTCTTCGGAGTCAAATCATTATGGGCGTTGGTCCGATCACTAAAAAATCCTTCGTAACTAACACTTGCGACTCAGAGATGAATGTTTTTTTAACTTTACGCCAGCATCCTGAAGCAGTTTATAGGTCACTCTATCCTCAGCATACGACCTATTTCAATTAGAAAAGACAAGACACGAAAGAATTATCAATAATTCAAAACAAAAAAAAATCAATAAGTCACATATATGAATATTACCTTTTGTAGACAACCTCTTTGACGCCCACTTGAATCAACTTGATGGCGCATCCTAATAATAATGTAAAGAAAAAAAAAAAAAGATTTCAACAATAACTGTTAGACCACCACTTCAAAAGCCTCGCTAGTCACCACGTCGAAGATTTCATACCGAGACAAGGACATCTGGTCAACGATGAAAATAGATCAATCATTTGCAAGCAAATTTTAGGTCCCATGTTCATATCCGATAACAGTTCGAACTTACGTATTACAATAAAGGATGCATCCTTCACCGATTCTCTCTCTTCCCGCTTCCAGCAGCGCGTTCTCCTCCGCATGCAGGCAAAGACAAGCATCCAGATTTGTCCCGCAGGAAACCGCGTCATTACAGCGGTCACATCCACCCTCATTACAGTTCTTTAATCCTCTCGGAGTGCCATTATAACCTGTCGCGATCACCCTGTGGTCTTTAACCAGTATACAACCGACCCGACGCTTCATACAATTTGATCTTAATGCCGCTAGGTCCGAAAGGTGCATGAAATAATTTTCCCAAGATGGTCTCAATCTTTCTGAGTTGGTGATATCAAGCTTCTTGAGATGAGAGTACAACTTCGCCAGTGTCGGGTACGAATTAATTATGGTGAGGTCGGCCTGAATTATCACGTCATGAGTAGTGCGCTTTGAAATTCCGTGTTCACCTTTTTCCAATTGAAAAAGTCGTTCATCATCTTCTTTCACGAATTCTTCCAGTGTCTGTTCTGGACGGTGTAGCTCCTGAAAACTTTCACCCAAGGGATTAGTTAAACTGAGTGAATGTGTCCATTTGAGATAAAAATTTTTGATCAGAGATCTTACAGATGTTTGTATCGTTTATACCGAATCGTTACTGGTCCATCAACTGAGAGCAACAGGAAAAACGGGCGCTTCCTATCGGTAAGTTGGAACTTTGTTATTAAATACAAGTTGTTTCAACGTCCTTATTATTTTTTTTTTTTCTTGTTACCTGTAGAGTTCCAAAATTTCGTTTGTTTCAACGTTGCAAGTCACAAAATTACTCCTCCAATTTTTCGTGACGTGTAGTAAAAGTTCGTTGGGTCCTTCGAAAAGCATTGCGTCTTGAGCCGCGCAGCCACTGTCTCGCAGAGAGACTAAAGTGAACCCGTGTTCGGAAATAAGCCATTTAGCAACGGTATGTTTCCCTGAAAAACGAGGACCTGTTATCCCTATAAACATAGTCAAATTTTCCCGAGTAAAGGAGGAGTCAGTGAAAGGAGTGTGGCGCGCGCAATATAAAATACGAATTGACTCGCGTACTCACGTGACAAGCGCACATTGTGTATTTGAATCGGACGATTATTTACAAAAATGGCCTTTCGGAAAAAGATGGGTGTCTCGTATCCAACAAGAGAAGATAGCATTAATTAGTTTCTAATCGATCTTATGAATAAGGTGCATGTAAAGTACCGGATTTTCTTACCTTCTGAGTTGGCCGGCAAAGGTGTTATTGCAATTAAGCCCACCTTTACTTCATCAGATTTCTGTTCAAATGTCCTCATGGTATTATTGATAGTTCGGATAATCCTCAAAAATCAATTGCTACGACGAATCATCATTTGAAGTTGGGTAAACTCGAACTTCGCATTGTGTTCGAACGAGGATTCTTACAGCCTCATGTTTTTGAAGAACCGTTCCGATTGCAAACTATTGAACAATCACGAGGGAGTCGTTTTGTTATTGTAAAAAGATCTCCCTTCAATGTCCTTATCATTTCGACATGCGGTCACATCAGAACATGAGACGTGCGAATACTCATTTCGAATCGACCAAGGCGAAAAAAATACGAGTTCAGAGAATTTCATGTTTTCATTTTTTTTTTTCTCTATATAATAGGTATTGTACTACGTCATTTATGCAATAATTCCGGTTGAAACGATCTCCTATAAAGATGGTCAGATGATCCATAACCATAGTTGGATTCTTTCTTCACAAATTTATACCATAGATACAATAAACAATGGTCGGTGCACTTTACCTACGAATCGAGGAGATATTTTCAATCCCATTTAATACCTCGACATGGGACTACTCTCAATTGACGAACCCCGATGAGTTTCAGTGGAAGGTTGGAGTTACGCCGTTCACCAATTGGCAGGTAGTGAGAGGAATCATATGCGTTTTATTACCAAATGTTGTTGGGAAATTAAATTGATTTCGAATTATTAGTTTGTCGTTGGTACTTGGGTAACGTACTTTACGGTTATCTCCAGTTTAAAGGTATTATTAACTTGCAAAAATTGTAACATTCAGACGGTTGCCTCAATTTGATCAGTGCACGAAATAGAATTATCAACTTCAAAATATTTTTCTAAAAAAGTTATTTATGAACTCGAGAGAGCCGTTTATATTGCGAAGTCTGACTGCAGCACACAACCTGTTCCTATGCATACTCTCGGCTTTGATGTTTGGGTACGGTGTGGTTTATTATTTCGAGAGAATGCAGGTTTGCAAGATCATCATATCCACTTACTCTCGAGATTCTATAACATTCTAAACTTTATCAACTCAATTACCAGGCACGTGGTGTAGGGGAGTGCTTTTGCACTTCGGATGATTCGTCAATGAAAGGGAGATTTTCTTACGTTACGTATATTTATTATTTGTCAAAATTTGATGAATTATTAGACACCGCGATCTTGGCGCTCAAGAAGGTAAGAAAGAATCAAAATCGCATCAATATTTTTACAACGTAACGATCCACGTCTTTTCAATATATATCCCTCGACTTTGTAGAAGCCGATAATATTCTTGCATTGGTATCATCACGCGATTGTCATCCTGATGGTATGGACTTGGCTCGAAGACGGAAATGTATATGCTAGGTAACGTGATCCAATTATTCGTTCACATTATTATTAATGAATTTTTTATTGAAAAGGGGGTTTTTTTTTTTTTTTTTTTCAACAAAAATTTAGTGTCGGAATGATGGCGAACGCTTTTATACACGTGTTCATGTACTATTATTACTTTTCAGCATCCCTGGGAAGATCCACATGGTTCAAGGTGCCGAAAAAAGTTTAACATCCTCCGTGCGATCATTCTTTACTACGACGCTAACTCTTATTTATTCATTCTATCACCTCAACGATTAGAAATACATAACAATTGGGCAAATCATCCAGTTCATCACCTCATTTGTACTATCCGCGCCATACTTATATTATCATTTTACGAACAATTGTAGATTAGGATTCACATCGTTCTTGTTTTCAATGGCGTGCAATGGAAGTTTTCTTTTATTGTTCACTAGATTTTATAGAAAAACTTACAGAAGATTGAAGAGGGGGAAGGTTGAGTAGTCAAACAGTTGGTATACTCAACACGTGATGAAAGGCGCATGATGTTATCATTATTTATTATTGATCACATCCCTTGGGCCGAAACTGTGGTTCACGGTTCACAGTGAAATTCAACCAGCTTTTTGTTTTTATTTGATCTCCTGTCACACCAACTGGTTAAACATGACGTGGCTATCGAATTATTAAGATATATTTTATATTTATTAAACTAATTTTTTTTTAAAAAAAAACAATAAAAAATCAATTTTTTTTTCTTCTTTTTTTTTTTTTTTCTTTTTTTTGCAATTTATTAGGCTATCGGCATTAGTTAGAGATGGCACTTGGAGTTCAATGCTCGAGAATCCTGCAAGTTTTTTTTTTTTTTCATCATTTAAGTCAATCCGCACGGCAATCGTTAAAGAATCGAGGTATCATTTGGTTACCAACCTTAAACTTCCAGAGACAACTTTATTCTCGAGCACAGAATTCGGTGGAATATCGATTCTGGCACCATGCGTCGCAACGATAATCACTGTGCCTTTTAATTGCACCCCCGCACCGAACGTGACATCACCGGTAACAGTAAGATGATCGAGTTCCAGGATGTGAGGCGGCGATTGGAATCGTGCCAAGAAATTCGAGACCTATGGTTCCGAAATGCACCAGTTTAACAGTTGCACTATCTGCACCATTTGCACTTGAGCGAACCTCAATAAAAGAAATACCTTCTTAAATTCATCACCCAACTTCACCAGTGGAACAGATTGGAAGAGTCTTTTGGGGTTCATCACGAGTTCCCCATGATTAAGCGAATATAGGTCAGAGGTGACCAGAAATAGATCAGACGTAGATTTAACGGGCAAGAATCGATTTCTTGGCACGTTGACACCGTATGCATTCTTAAAATGCTTGATGGCTGCACCAACAGCTGTCTCAAGCTGAATCACCTTTTCCCCGGACTCGAGCGTCTTGCTATTGACAATAACTTCCAGGCTCAACTCTCCTTCATCGGCGACACGTTTTATAGCCTTCAGGTTTATCCATAAATTGTTGGTATTGAAAATTTTAAATTTTTTAATTGACTTGAAGTCCTCCATGTGTTCGGAAGGAACCTGAGCCACCTCTAGCAATCTGACGGTCCCTTCATAATCGATAATCGTACCACCTTTAATGTCGGCTTTGGTCTTATCCGTGACCTCCATGATGAACTCCGAGTCAGAATCTACCATGCGTTGAAGAATGTTCAGATCTACCACCGCGCCCAAATTATCAACATTTGAAACAAACACATATTCCTTTCCCTCGGAGATCAGTCGATCCAATAGGCCAGAGTTTATAAGGGATTCAAACAGATCCCCGTGACCTGGTGGGTACCTGTCGAAGATCGAATAAATTTTTGCATTTAACTCGGAAATATCAAAAAACCAACACCGGACCATATGCTTAAAATGTGAAATTGGATAGTTTGTTTGGTTGATTAATACCATTGGCTGATGTCTCCACCGGGAGAACGCGGCATCGGTAACAAGGATTCCTTGTTGATTCTTGGATAGCGTGATTGATTGAATGTGAGAATGTCAATTTTATGACTTCCATATTTCTGAATTATACGCTTGGTGTGATCATCCGTATTGAAAGAATTCATGAGTATGAAAGGCACGTTGACATCGAACTTGCTATTTAGATACTACGATGGATGAAACACGAGAAAATATCATTAGTATCGCGATGCACTGTAAATCGATCAACATTCAACATCCAAATAACCCGATTTGTACCACCTCGCGATTAAATGAAAAGATTACTTACTTCTATTTGCCTGACGCTTAGATCCAAGAATGTCATACCATCCCTAACCTCAATAGCACTCTTGGGACCTATGCAACCCATGGTGGTTCCCAGACCGCCATTAAGTTTCAGGACGGCTAATTTATTGAGATGTTGTGGATTCTCACAGACGGGTAAATCTGCGTAAGGGATAATTTGTTCGGAACTTGGTGACTTGACCTTTTCCCAATCCCTTTATCGTTCGTAATTGAGACAGGAAATCGAATTAGTGACGGATAAACTTGCTCGAAGACACGAGGGTTAAGTGGTTACAACTAACAATTTGGTTCCTTTGGATTTTTCGCTCAAGTATCGTGTAAACAATGAGAAGAAATGATCCATCTCATTTTCAAAGTCCTACGAACCAAATTGGTTAACGCGAATTCCATAGGAAATTGATGTTAAGACATAACATGATTACTTTGCGTTTTTTCATGTCCTGGTGCATGTGAGCTAATTTGTTTAGCTCGGCACGCATGGCATTGGCCGCAAGGCTTGAACTTGTTTTTTGGAAGTCCTTTTTTTTTAAAAAATAATCAGACGAGATCAGTCGGAGGGAACGCAGATAGAGCATTATGGGGAAGTTACAGTTACCAATGCCGACAAGGAATGAGGATGTCTGCGTTCCGGATTTGGCTGTAAGCTATCCATTACGTTAGAAGGGTTGGGTAATTATACAGAAGAGTAGCAAACGCCAAATTTAATGGTTTTATATACTGTCTGAGAAACGTTTTAACTTTATTAATATAAAAGATTTATTCGTTAACAGGTGATTTCATATTTTGTATAAAGTTATCAATTGCATTATTGATTTGCTTTTATTATAATGCACAAGAAGATCAGGTTGGAAATGATTGACGCACAATTTTCGTCTGAATTACGTTTGCGCGCCGAATGTAGAAATGTGTTGAGATCAAAATTAAACGTTACATCCATTAGGAAGTACCATACCTTGCACCAGGGGTGTCAAAAAAGGAGCTACAGCTAGCGTAACCCTAAACCCCGTGATTATGCATAGATAATGAACAGCTCGCCTGAACATCGATCGAGTCAATAATTTTTCCCAAATTCCAATTAATGATGAATCTTTTTTAATTGGATCGCAATTATAATCGAATTAAATCGAAAAAACACAGAATTATACAACTCTGCAGTAGCCTGATATCAATTCAAAACAATAAGCGATTGAAATAAACAGGTTACTTTAAAATTTTTATATTATACTGTAAATGGAATTATAATTACAGTAAATACAGTAAATACAATTCATATAGTATCTTACATAAAAATTATTTAGTATACTTGGATTTCCGAGTTACTCAATTGATCGCTGCCATCACCACTGATCTCTTCTCACAATGGATAAACCGGTTCCCGCTTCAACCACTAACACCATCTCGCATAGTGATCATGAGAAAGTATTGGAAACACTCGAAGATAGTTTTAAAGGAATGGATAAGGTGTATACAAGTGGTGAAATGCGGGTATTCGGTTAGCATTATTACCCGAACCTTCCTTCTTTTATTATTAAACTCTAACTAATCAAACATTCGATGCTTCGTGTTATCATCTAGGGCGTGATTCTAACAATATATTTAAAGAATTGGACCTGATACGTAAAAAACAAATCGCATTAGCCGTCGAACATATTACATTGGAAAATTTGCCGGATGAAGAGATGTTGGTATCATACCTTAATTTACCCTACTGTTATGTTAGCGCTGTGAATAATTGAAATGATTATTTCTTCTACGTAAAATAAAATGTAGCCCACTAGGAAAGGAAACACCGGTAGATTCCGAAGAGAATTTTAAGCGTAACTCCGAACGATTTGCTAAAAAAGAACACGATCTAAATAGTTTGATGAATAATTTAAATAATTTGATGCTAAAGGTGTGTACGAAAAATTTTACTCATTGCACTGTTCCTTGTTGATTTTTTAAATTTACGCTCAAGTTGCTTTAAATGTAGTTGGAAACTTTGGGACAATCGATGAATATATATGAACCTAAGTCATGATCCGTTTCAGAATAGATTTTTTTCTAATTCACGGGACAAAAAAAAATTTTTTTTATTTAATTGCGGGGGTTTTTTTTTTAGCGATACCCGTGTTTTACATAATCCCTAACATCTTGAGTTTATGTGAGATATTCTCCTTGGTCTAAAATATTTTTTTGTATATGTTGTTTTATTATTTCAGTTTAGATCGTATTGTCTAGGGCCTCGAAGATTCAGAATACTATCAAAAAGATTATAGATCGTGCATCGCCTTATATTAATTATATTTGTAGAATACTGAATGCGTCCAATTTTTTAAAGATAAAGTAAGATAAAATGAAAATCAATCAAAAAAAGGTTAAACTAGAAACAACAAATTTTAATTAAAAATAATTTATTCAATTTTATTAAATCATTTTACAATTTTTTATTGTACCTTTGTTTTTATTCTGCCAGGCTAGTTATATGCTGTTTATTATATTTTTGTAGACTATACATATACACTATATATCACTAAAATTAATTTTCTAACTTACTTGTCTTATTTAACTAATTTAAAGTGCAACTTTGATAGTAGTTTAGATAAAAATCCTTTCAATTATTAATATCATTGCTCGCGAGTTACTATTGTAAATTATTATAAAGCTTTGATAAAAGTCAAATTCAACTATTTTCTTAAGTTTATTTTTATTCTATAATTTTTTCTTACTTTATATTTTCAACTCTTTTTTAAAAAATAATTAAAAATCTTTTTTTATATTTTAAAATTTATATTTTATTTTTGTATTAATAATATTTTAATTTTATTGTTTTTATAATTAATAAATTTTATTTGATTTAATTTATCAATTAATTAATAAATCTTTGTTTTTCAATTTTTTTATTAACCTGCAATCACGCCATCATGACATTTCTTTATTGAGATATTAAAAACATCTAAATTAGCTTAGTGAACTCCTT